CAAATAAGAAGAATATTACCTTTTGATGTGATACATTTTTTTTACAACATTGATGTGATACTTAGCTTTGTCGAGATAAAATATATATATTATTATTATATACTAAAAGACACACTTGACATAGTGACAAGTGGCATCTCTTGATCATCCTTAATTTTTTTTGGTAAATATCTACATATAAACTTTTGAGACGGTAAATAACAAAAAGTACGATATCATTTACATATATTAAGCATCATAAACAAAAATTATAACTATACACATGGAAGTGATCCAATTATGGATGTTTCTTGTCTCTAATGATTCAAGTAATATCTACTTTCACTCATCAATCATTTAGTCATATATACACAAGATTTTGAGATCTTTTAATTAAGGGATAATTAAAACTATAATTTAGTTTTTAATTAATGCTTAAAAAAACTATAACTTTTTTTTGTTAATTTCGAGATTAATTTGGTTCCTTAAGATATAATATGACTCCCAAAACTTTAATCGGACAATTTTTGATACGCAAATCGAGACATTAGATGTTTAAAAGGGGTATTATAGTCTTTTCCTTAATTATTTTTAACTTAATGAAATACTTTTTAACGGTGTTAGTCACGGTTGGGAAAAAGACCAAACCATGGGTGTACCGATGGGAAGTCAAAAAATTAAGAGTGTATCAATGGGAAAAGTCAAAACCACGGGTGTACCAATGGGAATTTCCCTATAGAAAAAACTAAGGACACACCAGAAAATGACACGTGTCATTACTGGTGCGTCTTTTAGTATACAGTTATTGATTATTGATTGATTATATGTGATAGTTTTTTAATAATATTTATCTATTTATAACTATATACTAAAGACGAATAAAACATGACACATGTCGGTTAAAAAAATTTCTGCCAAATAAAATTCAGTGTTAACTTAAGAAATATAAAATTTACTACAATATTTTCATTCCTATATACTTTACCATTATATTCAAGATAAATATCATTCCATATCATTTATATTTAAAAAATTGTAATGATCCAAAATCAATATAAATTTTTGTAACTACATATAGAAAATTTAGTAGATTATAAAAAAATCATATTTTTTTAATGAAATGGACTTTATTATACTTTCCCTGTTTTTTTTTATATAGTTAGTTGCAACGCTTCTCTTTTCACGCTTGCCGATGAGTAATTTCAATCGTTAATATCTTCAATAGTCAATATGTAAAAATTATAAGTATTTAATATTAAAACAGTATAAATCGAGAGGAATCTAAAAAGATCCCATATGACTTTATTTTTCCTTAAGTATATAAATCAACAAAGCTAATCAAAGTGAAACACATAAATAGTGTAAAAGTCAAACTGTTGCAACTAAAAAAAAAACAGAGGAAGTGCCTTTAGTAAAGAGAATAAATTTGTAAAAAATTTATTGAACTACATACAAATTATTGTAAATTTTTATAAACTTTGGTTAAATGTGCATTGCATAGGATTAAAACTAGTTAGTATATATAACGGAATAACTATTAGCAAAATTATTTTTGATATCATCATTTTTTTTCCTCCTATGTTTTAAGTCTAAATAAGTACACGCCTCTCCTCTCCTCTTCTCTGCTTTTCTCTTCTAGGGTTTCTCCCAAATCTTGACCATGTAGGCGGGAAATAGTCTAGTTTCTTCGGAAATTAAATTATTTTCGACCCTTTTTCCTTAATTTTCTTTAGTTTTGCAATGTAAGCTTCAATAAATCTACACAAATAGTGTAGATATTTGTCAGTCTCCCTATGGTGGAGTCATTAGGTTTTGTTTGTTTATATTTAGGGTTTGTTTGTGTGTTAGGGTTTATAAAAATGGTAATCATCTTTTCCCTTATTGTTAGTTTATTGGTAAAGATTTGTTTAGGATCGCGATGGCTGTCAAGTTTTCAAATGCGTTCAAGTGAATCAAATGAAAATCGTAAAACTGTGTCTCCGGAAAATGTTGTATATCCCAACGATGTGTGCGAGAGATGTACCACAGTGTAAGGTTTTTTCAACTATCGTATCTTTGATGAATGAAAGGAAACATTATTTTGATTCAACTTTATATATTTGTTAATTTAGATTTAAATTGTAGATGTGGAATGATTTTTCTATTAATGAATTGATTTGTTTAAAAAAAATAAAAATAAATATAGGTATTCTTTCAAAATTAATCAATGAGATTATGATTACACTTTTTCGAATAAAGAATTTTGACAACTATGTTAAACAAATCATACTCCCTTCGTATATTTTAAAAGCTAGAGTTGCGACCGTTGAAAACGGTGTTGCATCACGTGAAAACCACTACGAAATGGTTGATAACGACTGATCTGAACTGTTCTAAAATGTCGTACAATTGTCCATTTCGTATTGATTTGTACCAACCATTGTTTTTAATTTTGCTATATTTATTGATTATTATTTTAGCGTCTCACTTATTGTTGCCTTGCACAATACTTTGTTTTAACTAATTTAAAACATTAATTTTTATATACCCTCTACATTAGAGTTTTATGTTGGAGTATTATTGAAGAAAAACGAAGTATTAAATATGGTTATAAAATTAAAATATGTTTGACAACTACTAACAAAAAAATATTAAATTCAAATAAGAAGAATATTATTTTTTGATGCGATACATTTTTTTTTACAATGATGTGATACTTAGCTTGGTCGAGATAAACTATATATATTATTATTATATACTAAAAGACACACCTGACATAGTGACAAGTGTCATCTCTAGATCATCCTTAATTTTTTTGGCAAATATTTACATATAAACTTTTGAGGCGATAAATAACAAAAAGTACGATATCATGTACATTTATTAAGCATCATAAACAAAAATTATAACTATACACGTCGAAGTGATCCAATTATGGATGTTTCTTGTCTCTAATGATTCAAGTAATATCTACTTTCACTCATCAATCATTTAGTCATATATACACAAGATTTTGAGATCTTTTAATTAAGGGATAATTAAAACTATAATTTAGTTTTTAATTAATGCTTAAAAATGGTGGAGAGTATAAAACCATGGATCATGCATACAATTTTAACGTTAAATTTTCGTTACACTTGTAGAGGAGTTGGGGAAAAAAAACAAATCTATCCATGGTTTGATTTGAAATCTTGTGTAACAATAATAATTATTATTGTACATAATATAATTTCTTAAAATATAAAAGTTTTATATAAAAAGGGGGAATTCCCATTGGTACACTCGTGGTTTTGACTTTTTCCATTGATACACTTTTTTCGAATAAAGAATGCTGACAACTATCTTAAACAAATCATACTCCCTCCGTATTTTTTAAAAGCTAGAGTTAGTATTATGCGAAGTTTTATGAGATTTAATAATATACTCCGTAAGATTTTAGTGGAGACCACTGAAGGACTGAGAAATGACAAAGTAAAAGAGAGTGGAACTATTAGTAGGTTAAGATATATTATTAAATTGTATGGGGTTTTCAAAATAGGAAGTGTAATTCTAAAAAGGAATCGCACGAATTAGGGTTTAATACATGTGTTGCGCAGGACTACCTCAACATATCACATACTCCCTCCGTTTTTAAATACTTGTTCCATTTTCTTTTTCGGCCGTTTTTAAATACTTGCTCAATTTCCTTATTTGGAAATATTTTACAGTATTTAATTCATTTATCGATCTCACCTACTGGGCCCAACATAAATTATATTTTATTAATTTTATATTCTTTCTCCTCTAATTCTCTCAATTACTTTTGCTTTTTACAATATTTTATTCTTCCACCTACACCACTACCTATATATATTATTACTTTATCCAATTTCTCCTAAAATTCCGTACATGGAGAAATGGAGCAAGTATGTAAAACAGAGGGAGTACATTTTTTTTTATGGAAAAATTGACATTTGCTATCAGTAAAAGAACTGTGTGTCACATTTGCTACATGTTTAATTTTTTTTTTTTACTACTACTCAAATCTTTAAAATATTTACTTCACTACCAAATGACTTACGCCGTTACTATTTCCGTTAGTTAGATTTAGCCACCGTTCAACTATCTTGCAGCCACCCCTCCAATCCGCCACCCCTCCACCTCAATGCCATCCTCCCCTCAACTGCCACCCCCCCGCCAGCGCGAACGAACCCCTTTCCGTTCCCCCACCCTACGCAGACAACGAACCCCCTCCCTTTCCCCGTTCTTGCTGCCTAGACCCCCACCCCCAAACCAAAACTACCCCTTTCCCTTTCCCCCACCAGAATCCGCCCCCATCCCCGTTCCCCCACCGAAATCGACCCCCTCCCCTTCCCCTACCCTTTTTCGGCCTTCCCTAACCCTAAACCACTACCCCAAAACCACCCAAAACGAATTTAGGGTTTCGCTTAAGTAAATGTCAAATTTTCCTTATATATATATTTTTATTCTCTTACTTTCTAGGGGTTCTAATCGAGCGAGTCGAGATCACGAATTCATGAGTTGCTCGTTTAAAGGTTTGGCCTCTTGAATTTCAAACATTTGTTGATTATATTTTCTGCTCTTTATATAAAATTTTCCTAGTTAAGTGTATTATTTTGAATTTATTAAATTTCAACATAAAATTTTATTTTTGAAGATTAAAAAAAAGAAAAATATTACTCCCTCCGTGTTTTTTTAAGTGTTATAGTTTGACCGGCACATAGTTTTAGACAACTTAATTGATTTAAATAAAATAAAAGGTAAGTGGGGTAGTTAAAATATTAAAAAATTGTAAAAGAAAGATAGTGAAGTTAATAGTTTATTGAAAATCTATGAATGTTAGAGGAGATATACAATAAAAAAAAAGTAGTAGTGGGTTTGGGTGGGGGACCATGAGAGGAGAGATATATAATATTTTAATGTAGTTTTTTGCCAAAAAAAGAAGTGTAACACTTATTAAACCATGACCGGATTTGGTAAGTGTAACACTTATAAAAACACGGAGGAAGTACCGTGAATTTTTTTTGGACATTTTACAAGTTTCATTGATTCAAACGAGCACAAGCCAACTAGAGTCAGTCGAATTTGAGCTATTCGCGAGTTACACCGCTCAAAATTATCTATTATTTGTGGTGTTATATCCGGTTCACCATTTGAGCTAATCCGAATTCGAGATTGGTAGTTATATTCCAATCCCCTCCCAAGTTTCAATTATTATTCTTACCAAATGTACCCCTAATCGTCACTACATCAACCGCCAAGGCGTCAATTGGTAGCTTAATACAGCCAACAATCACCCCGTAAAATAAAAATATATATATAAAAAAAAAAAAAAAACGTCTCGCATTGGTCTCGTTCAAAAGAGGCCGATTAAAGCTTTCGAGGCTCCGAGCACTCGAGCAGGGCTTCCCGGCTTCCGTCGACAGAAACATCTAACCCAATTATTCGTAAGTGTTCTTCTCTTTCCTAATTTTTTTAATCTGAATTTTTAGATTGTTTTAAGGGCTACTGAAATTTGTCAATAATTTACATTTTTTAATATAAAGTTTGAATCTTTGAACGCTCTTTTGATTTTATTGTTTGGGTGAATTACCGGAGATAATTAAGTGCATGTTAAATTTGAATTATAATTTATGTGATTCAATTCTTGTGTTTGTTTGTTGATGGGTTTGAACTGGATTTTGTTTAAGATGATGGGATGGTTAATTAATTAATGAAGTAATTAACTTAATTTGATGGCTTTTTGCTCATATTTATGATAATTTGTAAATGTGGATTGTTTGATTGCTGTGGCATTTTCTTGATTTGTTATTGTGATAAAAAAGTGTGAAATGGTGGTTTTATGAAGTATTTATTGTTTTGATTTTTCACATTATATGATGTTAATTAAATTGATAATTTTTGGAAAATGTCTATAACTGTTGCTACTGATTACCACAAATTGATGACTGATGCACCGGCCACCGGGGGTGTAAATGTCAATGGAGAATCGACCCGAGCTTAGAAATTTAATGTTTTAGTTGTGTTGTAAGGAAAACATAAGACAAGTACGTGCTTTTGTAAATGATATCTGGGGATAATTTTACCCCCGTTTCTTAATGCTCTTGATGCTTACGACGGAGTATTTGCACAAGATTTAAGAAACGAAGAAAGAGAGTGAAATTTTGGGGTTGCAAGTGGCAAAACTAGGCTCTTTAGTTGTGGGTTGTGAAGGTAAAAGATTATTAAGTCACAAGTGTAAAGAACAAAAAGGAATGGACTTATGGTGAAAGCTTAAAGAATAAAATGGAGCGGAAGTAGTACTTCCTTTGTACAATATTGTTGCACGTTGTACATGGCAAACGTTTCTCAAAAGAAAAAGGCAATGAAAGCCTTTTGGAAGGTAGACAAATCCCTTGGACTCACATACAACCCTCAATTTTGATTGAAAATTAACAAACAAACAAACAGAAAACATAATTTTGATTGATAATTAGTAGATTTTCTAAGATTGGAGAAGTTGTGGAGGGTAATATTAATAACTGACTATTTAGATTTTGGAAAGCTTTATCTCTTAGAGAGTGTGTGAGGTAAGGATGATTTTCAAGGGTTATGCGAGGGTTTAGTGGCCTTTGTTGCGGTGACACATATATACTTTAAATAGTCCCCCCCCCCCCCCCCCAATGTGTTTGAGAGATATGAGTGTCAGGTGCTAGGTTTAGGGTGTCGGCTTTCTTCTTCTCCAGTTATTGCCAATTTTTTTTTTCAAGTAGCACAAAGATTGAACAGAATTATTCTGTTTGTTTACTACAGAATTTTTTTAAAATCCAGGTTATATTTTTGTAGTTCAAAAATTCATTGATGGAATTTGATACTCATTATACTTCTTTGATAATAGCTGATTGGATATCATTAGTTGGAGAGATGAGAGTAATGGAAGGGCCTTTCATTCATAAGTCTGAAAGGCATTTCTGATAATGGTTTGAGGTTATGTCATATTGGTTGCCTGTTCTGTATATTTTCTTATGTAGATAAAAGAACTACGAATCAATAATAATTGGTTTCTTGGCTTTCTTCTTTTCGTATGATCCCAAGTTTGTCGAAGTTGTATGATTTAAATTCTTGTTTGAGCCGGAGGTTCTCCTTATCAATTGTTCTGTACATGGCCTATATTGTACATGCAGTTGCTTTATCAGTTTACTTAGAAGATTGCAAGAATATTTAAGGTAGGAGGTTTTTATGAATCTTCCTTGAACTTGAGAAACAATGTGATATAAAATGGGACTTAAACCTGTTATACATAAATGTGCTTTAGCCTTGTTCTCAGCTGCATGTTCTGAATATCTTTTTCTAATTTAAAAAACAAAAAAAGGGTCACTATACCTGGGATTTTGGCCACTTACAAACTCTATTTTTGAACACAGAACTGTGCATTGGTCAAATGTCATTTCTGAGTTTTGCTTCGACAGAAAACGCTCTACAGGATTGATAATATTATTTATGTGTTGATGAATATGTGCCTTTTGTGCTAGCGCTCCAGGCAGAAGCACTCGTTTTAGCCTGAGTAGATTACTTGGAGATGTCAGGAAGAGGTCATCTCACGATGCCTGGGATGATGCGGCATGGACAACCACCTGGAAATGGCACACAGATTGATGAGATAGATCATCTTGTAATGGAAAATAAGAGATTGGCAACATCAATAGCAGCTATGAGACAAGATCGTGCCATGGTTGAAGAAGAAATACGTAGAATTGGGGCTCACATTAGAAGTATTGAGACGGAAAGTGATATTCAAATTCGGGTTTTGCTTGAGAAGATTGCAAGAATGGAGTTAGGCCTTAAAGCTGGAGAGAGTGTGAAGAAGGACCTGCAACAGGCCCACAAGGATGCACAGAGCTTAGTGGCGGCTAGACAAGAGCTGACATTGAAAATTAAGCAAGCAAGTCAAGATCTTGACAAGTGGCATACTGACATTAAGAGGATTCCGGAATTGCTCTCTAAATTGGACAGTATGAAGCTGGAACACCAGCGTCTACGGTTAGTGTTGTCTGTGCTTGTGTTCTAAAATTGAAATCAGTTTGTAATTTTCTAGACCACGTAGTATTGGCAAAGCAGTAAACCAATAAAGCCAGCAAGTTGTATAAAACATGTGCATGCGTTTGTAGTTTTGTACATTTACGAGTTTACAAGTGCAAGCTATGTCATTTATAATCTGGCTTCCCTGTTGGATATTAATTCATTTATTTGTTTGTTTGTTTATTTTTTGGAGTGTTGCTTGACTTGCTTCTGCAGTCTGTGGACTTTGGAATATGGCAATGGTTCTGCTTTGCTGAAGTATATTTTCCATATAACTCTTTCTTTGCATCTTCTTTGTACTTTTTTTTTAACTAGCAAAGTTTTAGGTTAGATCTAATATTCTGGATTGGACTTCATGCAGTAAAAGGTAAATAGCCATTACTTTGACATAGTCTAGTGAAAGTGAGTTGAATTATTTAACTCCCGAGGTTCTTTTAGATCTCTTTGAGCAGAGTAACCAAGATACTTTTATGATAGCATACTACAGTGATCGATTAGGAAAGTACTAGTTGATTTTTTCTTTGTTTTTTTTTTTTAAAAAAAAGGAGTTAATTTTAGCTTTGGACCATTTAGTTCAATCATACTATTTTTGGGTTGTCGGCTTTTTAGCTTGATGTTTGTTGTTATAGAGGCTGAATTTGTTTGTTGTTATAGAGGCTGAATTTGTTTGTTGTTGTACTCCGTGCGTCAATTATCTCATTATCATCTTCTCTTTGAATTTATCTCCTCAATTTCATTGAAACTCTTATGTCATCTCTTGTTGTTGTATTCACATTTGACTTTGGACTTGATTATAAACCTAGTGACTTTGTTTCTTTTGAAGTTCGGCCTTTGAACATGAAAAACACATGAATCTTGACCTTGTGGAACATATGCAAACGAAGGAGAAGAATCTGGTCAGCATGGATAGGGAGGTAGAAACCCTGCGAGCCAAAATACTGGATGTGGAGAAGAGAGTGCAAGGTTATTCTTTTCGGTTTTATATTGTATACTTTATATTTTTGGTGGAAATTTTGTTTCGGCTTTTTCGGAATGTCTTTCTTGGCTTATATGTATATATATATATATGTACATCTCTTAAATTAAGGAAACAAACAATGAATATCCTATCTCAATGAATCTTACTAGATATACAGAATACCCTTAGGTTTCCGTTGGGGTTAAAAAGATTATGTCGTTTTAGTTCTTTGGTGGGAATTTTTTGCATTTGCTGACAGTTCTCTCATCTTTGTGTGTGATTCCAGAACCCTATGACAGCACACACCCAAATCAAGATGCACAATACCCTTCTCTATACCAGAGCAATGATCTGTATTATGATCCATATAGAAGAGCAGCAATTGAAGGAACGGTTTCTCATAGCAATTCTGGTGAACCATCACCTGCAGTTGGCGCCATCTCCCATCCGCATAGGCATTGGGTGGCTTATGATCCAAAGTTCCAATCTTTGCCCGGCAATAGAGATTGAAGCTATGAAACTGTAGTTTTCACATGAATGTATTGTTTGGGCCAGGTTTAGTGTTCGCTGCATTTATTACCCCAGTATGTAGTTCCAGGGACGTGGGGTTCTTAGCTAACAATTGTAGAAACAAATTGTCAGGTTTACTCCTTAGCACTACCATTCTTGAAACGGTAGATTGAATTAATGAGCAGTTGAGCTTATGCTGTTAGAGAAATCTTGCTAACAATTTCCGGGGTTGAGTGTTTGAATTTGTATGTGTAAATATCTATATCTTTCACTATTTCTCACTCCCCTAAATTGCAGCATTTGCTATCTGTACACTATAAAGCATATACGAATCTCCCATTTTCACCTGTGAAGGTACTACTAACAAGTAGCGACAGGGACATATACGAAGACAATGACAGAGTTCAGGGTCCTCTGATCTAGAGAACTCTTATCCTCGCCCCTCCCATCTCTCACCCCTCCCAGCCCCAACCCCGCATCCTCACCCACACCTGCACCCACACCCACACTCCAATACCCCATCACTCCTCCCGGTCATCATAGTCCCCTGTCCCTTACCCAACCAGCTAATTTTGGCACTAATTGAAGTCAGAATTGATGAGATGTAATTGCAGGCAAAGTATGTTATATGTTTCAATTAGATCTAAGGGGAGCAAACATCTGGAAACTGGAATCTGACTAATAGATACATCTGCATTCAGAAGTAACTTTCCAGCATCAATTGCTTGAGACGGAGGCAGCTCTGAAGAGCAGCTCCCTTAAGCCCTTGCACAGTTTCACTCCTATTGCTCCAGCAACTTACAAATCTTTTACTCCATAGCAATTACTGAAGTTACAGGTTCGATACCATGGCACAGCCCATCATTCTTACCGAGTCTAGGAGGATCTGAACTATTATGTATACGTAGGAGCATCTTGCTCATATTATTTGCAATGATTTGACATAAAGTAGAGAGAAAAAAATGTCCAATCGTTGCAAATAATATTTAACGGAGGTAGTATAATAAATCAGTAAAAGTGAGAAAATTTTGATCACTTTCACCCAAATAAAGGCTTAAAAAAAGCAGTGTTACTATACTAGCATCCGTGATGGTTGCTAGTGAGAGTGGCGACACCACACATTAGAAACGAGCAAAACACAACGCCACATACACAATAATTGTAAAACCCTTAAGAAAATGATGATTAAGTGGAAAGATAACAAATCAATCAAACAACATTATAAGCTAAACAAATAAACTAACATAACAAAACATAATTTAAACTAATTCAATTCATAACAGAATTTTTATTTACTTGTGGTAAACCTTCATCTATCGCGATAGCTTGACATCCTCCATACACTGGAACAAGACTTCCGACGGTCAATGCTAGAACCTTATGACGAAGAGGAGCCCCAGTGAATGTCAAAAACCTCTCCATTGTTTTATCTTCAATGTCATACCAAACACTACTTTTAATGTTTAGTGTATGATTATCAAATTCATGACAAGGCATGAATAATATATTTATAGACAGCAAATTTTTCCTAAGCAAAATTTCTCCTCTTGTACCACAATCATTAGGAAAAACAACAAAACATCTACGTAAAGGGATACTTACAAACTTCATCCATGATTCGTGAACTCCATATTCCTTCATCCTCCAAATTTCGTGTTTACCCTTAAAATTAATGGTAAAACACAAACACCCATCATAAACCCCTAGATAAAAATTTGCACAATCAAGATCGTTGTCAACAAGGTAAGGAAGTGGTAAACTAACATTAGGCAATGGTAAATCATTGTCAACCCATTCTTCGGTCTCAAGATTGAAGACTCCAATACGCGTCTCTTTGTTGGTTGGATAGCGATACAACAGATGGACTAAATGGTTGTTTATAAGAACACCATTGTTACAAAGTCCGTAATAATGATCTGGATGTCTCATCAATGTATCCGACGATTCATCAACACATCTCCAAGAATCCGCCTTTAAGCTATACACCAAAGTTTTTCTATGGACGACAAGATTGTCCCAGTAGTTAAAGGACGAGTAATGAAAATCAAGATCAAACCATTGGTTTTCGTCGTTGTAGTAATCCACAACAACAGTCTTATAATCATCATATACGCTGTCATAACCAAATCCAATACTCGTGCAAATCATATTTGTACGGTAACACAAGTCTGAGAATGTCAATGAGATGTTAGACTTAAACATACCAGTACATGGATTAAAAATCATCAATTTTGACGCGATCTTACTATTATTGTTTTTTTTATCCAACCAGTTATAATCAAAGCGACGATAGGATCTAAGGCAGATTAAACCATTGCAACAACCCACAACATGAATGTCAGATTTGCCACTGCTGATGGGTTTAGGAAGTTCGAGACAATGATGAGCCTGGGGCTCGGGTGAATGCACTAAACTCAAATCTAATTAATACAGCCGATCTGTGTTGCTGTTGTCGCCTTCAGCAGCTAAAAAGATGACAAAGCGGTTGGTGCTGGAGGTGATGGAGTGACGGAGATGAAGGTTGATGAAATCTTTAGAAGAAATATATGTTTGGAAAAATTTGTTGATGCATTTAAACCTGTAAAACTGTAAATTTTGGCTTGATCTTATTAGCTTCATGAGCCCAATATTTATAATAATACAAAACTAGTTTCCTAAGCCTACACCAACTCGTGTTTAATAGCTAAAGAAAACAAAGATAATATGGCAACTCTATTCTAGAGATATGGAAATAATAATATCTAAATAATATCTAGACCAAATATTTCCTAAATATATCTTAACACCCCCCCCCCTCAACTTGGAGCATGAGGGTCGAAAATGCCCAACTTGGAAAGAAGATAGTCAAACTGAGTCTTCCCGAGTGCTTTTGTGAATATATCCGCCAATTGATCCTTAGTAGACACATGGGATGGTGAAATTAAGCCTTCATTGATCGCATCACGAACAAAATGACAATCGACCTCTATGTGTTTCGTACGCTCATGAAAAACAGGGTTCCTTGCGATATGTAACGCAGACTGACTATCACAAAACAACTTGATTGCTTTTGGATGTTGAATACCCATACTCAACAATAAGCCTTTGAGCCACTTTAATTCACAAGTGGCCCCAGACATAGACCTGTATTCCGCCTCTGCAGAAGAAAAAGAAACTGTAGGCTGTTTTTTAGTTTTCCATGAAATCGGAGATTTTCCGAGAAACACTAACCATCCGGTCAACGAGCGTCGTGTGAGAGGACACGCCGCCCAATCCGAGTCGCACCAACCCTCTAGGGTGAGCTCACTATCTGAATGCAACAATATTCCTTGTCCGGGAGTTCCTTTTAGATAACGCACGACCCTCAAAGCAGCTTCACAATGTTCGATGCGAGGTTGTTGCATGAACTGGGATAGAATATGAACGGAGTAAGCAAGGTCCGGTCGAGTAACTGCAAGATATATGAGTCGTCCCACAAGACGACGATATGCTTCGGGATTATGCAACAATTCGCCACTAGCATGAGCAAGTCTATGATTTTGTTCCATGGGAAACCCACTTGGCTTTGCTCCCAATAGACCTGTTTCAGAAATAATATCCAAAGTATACTTTCTTTGGCACAGAAACAACCCGGAAGTACTACGAGCCACCTCAATGCCCAAAAAATATTTAAGAGGTCCAAGATCTTTCATTTTAAAACAATCACTAAGATATGCCTTGAAAACCTTTAGTGCAGCGGAATCGTTCCCAGAAATAATAAGATCATCCACATAAACTAAGACATTTATTTGGGTTTTGCCATTAGTATATGTGAATAAAGAATAATCAGAGTAGGCTTGGAGAAAACCATACCGTTTTAAAGCCGACGACAATTTGCATACCAACACCTAGGGGCTTGTTTCAAGCCATATAAAGACTTGCGCAATCTACACACCAAAGAAGGATCCGGGCTTTCGAACCCGGGGGGAAGCTTCATGTAAACCTCTTCTTTCAGGTCACCATGTAGAAAAGCATTCTGAACATCCATTTGATGTATCTCCCAATTTTTGCAAGCCGCTATTGCAAGAAAGGCACGAACTGTAGTCATTTTGGCAACCGGAGCAAAAGTTTCTTCATAGTCAATACCGGCTTGTTGATGATTACCGAACACCACTAATCTTGATTTGAGTCGCTCAATATCTCCATTGGATAAGTACTTGGTCTTATAGACCCATTGACTGCCGAGAGCACGTTTCCCGGGAGGAAGATGTTCCAAAGTCCATGTACCATTATTTTCTAGAGCATGAATTTCTTCCTTCATAGATTGTCGCCACTCATCATGTTTCATGGATTCCTTGAAAGATTTTGGGTCGTTACCCTTGATAACAGCTGCAAGAAATTTCTGATAATTGCTAGAATAATTGTCACAATTTATGTAATGTGCTAAAGGATAAGGAGTACCTAAGGAGCGATCACAACGGGGGGTGGGGGGGGGGGAAGAGGACTATTAGCAAAAACCGTATGTGTCACAAAATCACGATGCTTGACATTTGGAAACTTTTGTCAAAATCCACGACCCATTTGTTGATCACAACCGGCCATGTCTTCAGCATTGTCACCGGTGCTTGTTGCATTGTAGGCCTCATTAGAGGTTTCTGAAGTGGGCTGCATATGCATAGGCCCAATTGGCGCTAGTCTTCCAGCGGTTGAAGAAGAAGCAGCATTGGGCTGCGAATTGGAAGACCCAGCAGCCGATGGGTTTCCAGCGGCCTGAGCATACTCCAACTCGGGCTGCTGGTTGGGAGGCCCATTGAGCGCTGATGATGGTGGACCTGTCGCTGGTTCATGACTAGGGCCCAATTCGATGACCTGTTCTTCTAAATTACCTCCAACATCCAATTTCTCCTCGAAAATAATTTCAGAAAAATCCTCATGAATATCTTGAGCATCATACTCACTATGTGAAATGTTCACAGCTTCAGGACTCTCAAAAGGAAAAACCTCTTCAATAAATTTGACATCCCTTGAGACAAAAAATTCTTTCGTAGTCAAATCAAACAACCTCCACCCCTTTTTACCAAACGGATATCCCATGAACACACACTTTCTACTGCGACTAGCAAATTTGTCTCCCTTTGATTTCTGATTATGAGCAAAGCATAAACACCCAAAGGTTCGAATGGCATCAAAAGAGGGTGATTTGTCAAAGAGAATTTCAAAGGGAGTTTTATTTTGTAAAAGGGGAGTTGGAGTACGATTGATCAAATGAGCGGCTGTGAGAACACATTCACCCCAAAAATAAATGGGCAATTTTGCTTGAAAC